CCATTTATTATGGTTTCCAATTCATGGATTCATGTCCAAATCTCAAAGTGCACATATACACTTGCGATTCTACCACATTTTTGTTGATGAGTCATTAAAACACGAATCTTGCGAGATTTAGTCATAGAATTTGTAAGTATCATTCGATTTGAAATTAATAAGTTTATTAGTGAAATATTCTTGCATTTCCAAATCAAACCTAACAAGAGAGTATTATCTTAAAAAAATTGTCTGATTTCATTTGTATTAATCAACTAATTTGTATATGCACAGTATTTTTCTGATTTCAACTGGGATGAATTCAAACGTCTCTCCACTAAATATCCAAATCTTAAACATCTTGCACTGAGGAACAACAATAGCCTGAAAAATAAACATGTGGAGCAATTGGTTACCATTTTACCCAATTTGGTGTTATTTGATGTTCGTGGTTGTCCAAAAGTCACTCAGGAGGCTGCTAATTATGTCCAAGATTATAATAAACAACATGGACGATCAATCAAGTTTTATTTTGATGAGAATTACCATGAAGTTCAATCAGATTGGCCTCATTTATCCACCAAGTATGAAAAAATAAGTCAAGGTTTTGATTTCATGAAAAATTGTTTTCTTAAAGATTTTTATAAGCTTCCTACTTTCTTAATTTCTAATGAGGACTAAATAAGATTCAAAACACAATATGTATTCATGATATCAATTTGGAAGATCTTATAATTACAGTGCAACCTTGTGTGTAGCTACCAAAACTTAATTTTAATTTCCGGTAAAAATTTTTTCAACATCAAAAGATTTCGACGTCCATTCAAAGATGACTATAACATATGCTCAAAGATTTATGATCAGTAATACCAGCCGCAGTGCGTGTATTATTACAGATAATTTAACACATTTATCATTTAATGGCACATTTTCCGGTAAAATTACACTCTAATCAACTTTTGAAATTCAAAGGAATAATCAAAATTTTATTCAGCTTTAACCACCTCACAGAAATGGGAGACCAAGATTGTTAATTTAAAAGAAATTGATTGTATCAACAATGTTAATGAAAACTAATAATTTGTAAGATGAAAACTAGAAAAATGAACATACATTGCCTGACAAAATACAATGAAATGATTGAATCACAATAATCGCTTTGAAATCGAAGAGGTTTAACCTTATGCTTTGAGTCTTCTAAAGGTAAATTGTTTTCATTACGTCGATCACAAATTTTAATACTTACACCACTCGAATTTTTTTCTCAAAGCAGGCCATTTACGGTCAATAAGTTCAGAAAATTCAGAGCCAAGGGCTCTGTAAAGCTCATTTTTCCTACTGTCAATTTTGAAAAATTGATTGTGATCTAAATTCAATTACTTTAGTTGTTTAACTAACTTGTTTTCTTGATTTGATTAAGAAGGACTGTCTTAATGTCAATGTGGATCTTCATGAGATCAATGATCATGAGAAGAGGTTATGAGTACTTGTAACCATTTATGATATCTGAGTGTTTCATGTTAAAGCTTCATTCTATTTTATTCTTAAATTGGGTCTTCACTCACAAGCAAGCCTTTGAGGCTCAGAGTTCGCTAAGTTTAACATGTGTCACTTATACAAGTGTATAATAGATGGCGCCACTTAAGCAAATCTAACTTTAAAGTTTTTCGCGATCTCATTGTTATCTTACTTTATGACTTTCAATCTAAAAATCTTTGTGTAACGCTAAGTATTTTTCAAACAAGTGTCTTTGCTGTTAATGTGTTTTATCGCTAATATACTGCAATTTGCTAATTATATGTTTATGCATAAATAAATGCTGCTAAAGTTTACTTTTGTTGCAATTAATTACATCTCTAGATCGGATCATCTGTATTTAAAAGTGATTAGTCAGGCTTTTAAGCATTATTGATTTCAAAATGTTTATCAATGAACTTCCAGAGGAATGTTTGCTCATCATTTTTGGTTCAATAAATGAATTGGATGATTTATTGAACTGCTATAAAGGTAAATCTGTTTTAAACAAATCATTTTCTTTTTTGGTTTATCTAATAAAATTAAATAAAACAACACAAATAATGAAAGAGTAACGCTATTCACTCTTTGCAGCATAGTCAAAATGCTATGGAAAAAGAATCAATGTTTTTTTTATAAAATATCACATGAAACAATATTTCCATCTACTAGCAGCAGTTACCTCAATAGGATCTGAATGTATAACGCAAACGATTTAAAATGATTCAGTTTTGCTTTTGCATTCATAATTTCAGGTTTTTTCTAGTAAGTTACGCCTCTGCTCTACGCCCTGACCTGTTACAATTGAGAGCCATTCAGGTACATTGATAAGTCTTTCAAGCAGTACACTAACATCTGAATAGATTATAGCGATGTGATGAAAATATAGCTGACTTAATCTGAATATATTGACTTTTGAAGTTTAATATTCGCATACTTTTACAAATATTTAGTTAAGTTTTGTTGAAAGGGGAGATTGTTTATATTTGAAACAATGTGATTAATATTTAGTAATTTAATACGGATTTTTATACCAGTATGTCGTAAATGGAGCCATTTAATTGCAGAGCGAACCAGAAAAGTTAAATATTTGACTGGTAAGACTCAAATTACTATCAATAGTTGTTATCATTGTTAATAAATTTACTCTTAAACAATTTATATTTTCAGAACATGAAGGTGATTGGCCAGATAGGAAGCCATTTCCAAGTTATCCGCTGAATCATGTTTATTATCGAACAGAGGAACCAATCGATGGAACTTGTTTGAGCACATTATTTCCAAATTTAATAGTTCGTTGAATAATTCAACTTTTATTGTTGGTCAACTATTCATTTTATTATATCTTTAAATATAGATTATCGAATATTCGAAAGGATTTCGTAAAAAAGTAAAACATGAAGATATCGTTCCATTGGTCAAAAAGATAAAACCTTTAAAAGGATTAATTCATCAATTTGTCTATGGAGATTCAATTTTTGAATATTTTGTTGAACTCGAAATGCTATCCTACGATTGCATCGGTGCGTTCATTGGACAGACTTGTGCAAATATTAAACAGTTGAAAATTAAGGATTTTACTGTATCGGATAGCTTCAGTGATTATGAACATGGCTTTTCCAAATCTTGAAAGATTATGC